CCAGCCAGCAGAGCTGGCTGGAGAATTCTGGGAGTTGAAGTCCAACAAGTCTTAAAGTTGCCAAGTTTGAGCTGGCTGGAGAATTCTGGGAGTTGAAGTCCAACAAGTCTTAAAGTTGCCAAGTTTGAGCTGGCTGGAGAATTCTGGGAGTTGAAGTCCAACAAGTCTTAAAGTTGCCAAGTTTGAGCTGGCTGGAGAATTCTGGGAGTTGAAGTCCAACAAGTCTTAAAGTTGCCAAGTTTGAGCTGGCTGGAGAATTCTGGGAGTTGAAGTCCAACAAGTCTTAAAGTTGCCAAGTTTGTGGACCACTGTCCTAGAGCACAGGGAGAGCCGCATGGCCCCCGCGAGCATTGCCAAGGGAAGGGCACTCCACAGCCATGCTCCTTTGACACCCCCCCCCCTCTTTCTCCACCAGGGACAGCCTTTTGCTGGAGACGGGCTTCCTGGCTGTGCTGGTGGCTCCCATGCATCTGCTGAAGTGGCGCTCCACAACCTGGCGGGCGCATGATGGGGTGACCTTTTGGCTGGTGCGCTGGTTGCTCTTCCGTTTAATGTTCGCGTCCGGGGTGGTGAAGCTGACCAGCCGTTGCCCCACCTGGTGGGGGCTGACAGGTGAGCCCAGAAACAGACAGGGAGGGGGGGGGCATTGGCAGGAGCTGCGGGAGGGAGCTTGGCGTTTTGATGGGCAATCTCTTCTATGCCAGGCAGCCAGAAAAGCCAATGCCATCCTTGGTTGTATAGGCGGAGTCCTAGAATCAAAAGCGTGGAGTCTTGGTACCGCTTCATAATGCATTGCTAAGGCCACACCTGGAATACGGCATCCAGTTTTGGTCACCACGTTAGAAAAAGGATGTGGTGGAGCCGTGAGGGCAAACTTATGGCACGCGCGGCAGAGGTGGCACCCAGAACCCTCTCCGGCACGTGCCGTCGCCAGCTGGTCTTCGGGCGTGCTGGCGCACCAGAGACTGGCCTGAAAATGGCCCCTAAAACAGCCTAAAAACAGATGGTTTTCTGCCATTTTTGGCCCTGAAAAATGCCCCCAAAATGGCCTGAAAACAGGCCACTTGGAGGTTATTTTCAGGGTGTTTTTTGGGCCAAAAATGTTCCAAAGCTGGCCTGAAAAATGGCCCTATTCCCACCCTCTGGAGACTTGCTTAACGAGGGATTTACTTAGCAATAGAAATTTGGGGCGGTATTTCATCCATAAGTCAAGGACTAATTATATTCCCTCTCTGTCTCCTTTCCTCCCCCTCTCTTTCTCTCCTTCTCTCTCCCTCTCCCCTCTCTCTCCATCTCTCTCTTCCCCTCTTTCCTCCCTCTCTCCTTCTCTCTCCATCTCCTCTCTCTCTCCATCTCTCTCTCCCCCTCTTTCCTTCCCTCTCCTCTCTCCATCTCTCTCTCCCCCTCTTTCCTTCCCTCTCTCCTTCTCTCTCCATCTCCTCTCTCTCTTCATCTCTCTCTCCCCCTCTTTCCTTCCCTCTCCTCTCTCCATCTCTCTCTCCCCCTCTTTCCTTCCCTCTCTCCTTCTCTCTCCATCTCCTCTCTCTCTTCATCTCTCTCTCCCCCTCTTTCCTTCCCTCTCCTCTCTCCATCTCTCTCTCCCCCTCTTTCCTTCCCTCTCTCCTTCTCTCCATCTCCTCTCTCTCTCCATCTCTCTCTCTCCTCCTGTCCCTCCCTCTTTCCTTTTCTCTCCATCTCTCTCCCCCCTCTTTCCTCCCTCTCCTCTCTCCATCTCCTCTCTTCCTCCATCTCTCTCTCTCCATCTCTCCCTCCTCCTGTCTCTCCCTCTTTCCTTCTCTCTCCATCTCTCTCTCCCCTCTTTCCTCTCTCTCCTCTCTCCATCTCCTCTCTTCCTCCATCTCTCTCTCTCCATCTCTCCCTCCTCCTGTCCCTCCCTCTTTCTTCCCTTTCTCTCTCCCCCTCTCTTTCCCTCCCTCTCTCCATCTTTCCCTCTCTCCTCTCCTTCCCCCTCTCTCTCCCTCTCTCTCTCTCCTCTCCCCAGCCTTGACCTACCACTACGAGACCCAGTGCATCCCCACGCCCAGTGCCTGGTTTGCCCACCAGATGCCCGTCTGGTTCCAGAAGCTCAGCGTGGTGGGCACCTACGTGATTGAGATCGCCATCCCCCCGCTCTTCTTCGTGCCGCTGCGACGCCTCCGGCACTTTGCCTTCTACAGCCAGGTACGGCCGGGCGCTGGGAAGGTTAGGTTGGCAAGCACCCGGGGGGGGGGAGGGGGGAGAACAGGCAGAAAGGGTAACAGCAGGCAGACCTCAACGTTACGACCTCATTGGGGCCCAAAGTTTATGTCGTTAAGTAAAGAAATTTGTGAAGTGAGTTTTGCCGCGTCGGTTAAGCGAATCCCTGTGGCTCTTAAATTAGTCAGCCGGTTGTTAAGTGAAGCCGGCTGGTCGCAAAAGGGGATCAGCGCCGCTCCCCCTCTCCCGGGAGACTGCAAAACGTCACACCGACTTTACTGCAGTGATTCACTTAACGACTGGGGCGAGAAAGGTCGTAACAAGGTGCGCAATGTTCATTTAGCCCCCCCCCTTTGTCCCGCCTAGCCACAGAAACCCTGGGCTCCATTGTGGTCGTAAGTCGAGGACTCCATGTGTTTTGACCCTCCTCCAGGTGGTCCTGCAGGCCCTCATCATCCTCACCGGCAACTACAATTTCTTCAACCTGCTGACGGTCGTCCTGAGCTTCTCCCTGCTGGACGATGAGCACGTGGGGCTGTGGCTGGGCCAGGGGCGGAAGAAAGCCAGTGGCGGTGAGTCCCCCAGGATCCCCACCCGCCCCCAGGAGGAGGAGGAAGAAGGGGGGGGGGCTTCCTTTCTGCCTCTTCCTTTTCATTTCTCTCCTGTTCCTCCGTGGAGTTATTCTGTTTACATGCCGCCTGCCTCCCTATCTGGAGTGGCGGGGCTGATGGAAGCTCCTCATGGGGAGGTGCATGATGGGTTTAATGGTACTTGTATGATGGGTTTGATGGGGGTTTCGTGAAGAGGTTGATGGGTACTGTACTCCAGCTGCATCTCAAGGGGGAGTGCATGATGGGTTTCATGGGAGTTCCATGATGGGTCTGATGGTACTTGCATGAAGGGGTTGATGGGAGCTGTAGTCCAGCTACATCTCCTGAAAGGTGCATGATAGGTTTGATGCATGAAGGGGTTGATGGGAGCTGTAGTCCTGTCAGCTCCTCGTGGGGAGGTACATGATGGGTTTAATGGTACTTGTATGATGGGTTTAATGGGGGTTTCGTGAAGAGGTTGATGGGTACTGTACTACAGCTGCATCTCATGGGGGTGCACGATGGGTTTGATGGTACTTGTATGATGGGTCTGATGGTACTTGCATGAAGGGGTTGATGGGAGCTGCAGTCCAACTACGTCTCCTGAAAGACGCATGATGGGTTTGATGGAAGGTGCAGCCTAGCCCCAAGCCCCCCTCTTCAGTGGGGGCCCATAAGCCTTGACCTTCACCCCCCTCTGCCCCTTAGGCTGGGCCTGGCGACTGCCCCCCCTGCTGGCAGAGCTGGCTGTTTACGGCCTCCTGACCTTCTGGACCAGCCGTTACTTCGGGCTGACCATCAACTGGGAGAAGAGAATCCTTGAATCCAAGACAGGTATTTCTTTTGGGGGTGGGTGGGGGAGGGGCTTCAGTGGGCAGCAGGGGGTCCTACCGTGGGGGGGGGGGCTGGAGGTCCCTCAGCTGCAGCGGGATGAACTTTTTCTCCATTTCGGCAAGGGAGGGTCCCAGCCCTGCCCCCCCCTCAGCCCCCTTCTCACAATCTCAGACCCAGCCAAGGATTTCCTCCTCCCTCTGCCCCCCCCCCATGCTGTGTGTGAGTGAGAGAGACTTGTCCCAAACCCCAACAACTCTGCTCCCTTTGTACCCCATCCTCGCCAATGGGGAGGGGGCCTCGCCCTCTGAAATGCAAGACTTCAAGGGGTCCCAGGTGCCTTGTAGCTCCCCCCCCCATCTTGTGTTTTAGAGCCTGGGGTACAATTCCTGGGCAGGGGAAGGGTGGGCTGTTTGGCTACTAGGCCTGGGGCCCTCCCCCATTGGAAGAGAGGGCGCAGTACAGTAGGAGAGAGAGAGAGAGAAAGAAAGGAAGAAAGAAAGAAAGAAAGAAAGGAAAGAAGGAAGGAAAGAGAAAGGAAGGAAGGAAAGAAAGAGAGAGAGGAAGGAAGGAAGGAAAGAGAGAGAGGAAGGAAGGAAGAAAAGAGAGGAAGGAAAGAGAGAGAGAGGAAGGAAGGAAAGAGAGAGAGGAAGGAAAGAGAGAGAGAGGAAGGAAAGAAAGAGAGAGAGGAAGGAAGGAAGGAAAGAGAGAGAGGAAGGAAGGAAGAAAAGAGAGGAAGGAAAGAGAGAGAGAGGAAGGAAGGAAAGAGAGAGAGGAAGGAAAGAGAGAGAGAGGAAGGAAAGAAAGAGAGAGAGGAAGGAAAGAAAGAGAGAGAGGAAGGAANGTGGCTAAGAAACTGAGCTTGTTGATCAGAAAGTTCAGCAGTTCGAATCCCTAGCACCGTGTAACAGAGTGAGCTCCCATTACTTGTCCCAGCTTCTGCCAACCTAGCAGTTCAAAAGCATGTAAAAATGCAAGTAGAAAAATAGGAACGACATTTGGTGGGGAGGTAACAGCATTCTGTGCACCTTCGATGTTTAGTCATGCTGGCTACATGACCACTGAGATGTCTTCGGACAGCGCTGGCTCTTCGGCTTTGAAACGGAGATGAGCACCACCTCCCTAGAGTCGGGAACAACTAGCACATATGTGCGAGGGGAACTTTTACCTTTACCTAACTTCTCATGGTCACTCACCTCACCTACGTTGCTTCCTCTGCTGGAAGAATACATAACTCGGTGACTCTTCACGGCTTGTGAAGCTGCCTCCCAGTTGACACGCACCGACATATGGCTGATGTTGGAGAAATGTAAATATCTTGGAGGGCTCAGGGCCACTGGAAGAAATGGTGCACATCAGTTGTGAAGAATCAGGATCACACATTAAGTTCCAGTTAAGATTATTTGTTTGTCATGCCTTGATACTAGTCACTAAAGGTCATTCCTAAATTGGTTCTAGATAAGATTCGACAGAATTCAAGAGGGGTTGGGCTTAGAATTGCTTGTGGGCATGTAAGGACTCCAAGTTAATGTTGTGGCCGGCTGGTGACCAGTGGAGCTGGCAGCAGAGTCGGACAGTGAGGAAGTTGGGGAGGAACATGGGCCACTCCTGGGGGTTGAGGAGGGCTCTGCGTCAGGGGCAGAGAGAGAGCTAGACAGCAGTGAGGCAGAGGAACAGCTGGAGCCTGTTCCCAGTGTACACATGCACAGAGCTGCCAGGGTCTACTAACTAACTAAGAAAGCAGGGTCGACTTAAGTGGGCCCCTCTCATAGGAAACAAAAGAGGAACGAATGGGGAGTGGGCTTTTTCAGGAAATAATTTGTTCGTTTCAAGAGTGGAAAGTTCTGTCTGTGGCTATAAGAGACTATGGCAAGTTTTGCCTTGCCCTGCGTTTGGGAACTAGTTATCTGACAGCTCTGTGAGCGAGATAAGGTTCGTGTTGATAAATATTCCTCTGAAAGACTGTTTGCTAAGCCTTTCTGACTGTGAATGAAAGGAATTCACAGTCGTGGAAATAAAAGGAGTTTTGCAGGGACCAAGAATCTGCTTCTTGCTTTTTAAGGAAGCCTGGGTCAGAACAGCTAATTCCTCTCTTGACGCCACCCCCAACTGTCCTCCAACTGTCTTTCTCTTACATCGTTATCTATAACACATCTGCTCTAGACTCTGAAGCCAATCTAACCAACACAAGAAGGTCAGTAAATAGGACATCATTCAGAAAAGAGGCCGTGTGTTTCTTCTAAATAATTCTCACAAACACCCACACCTCCCAAAGACCTATTAGATCCCACAGACTAGGCCTCCTCCAAATTCCATCTGCCAGCCAATGTCGGCTGGCAACTCCCCGGGGGAGGGCCTTCTCTGTGGCTGCGCCGGCCCCCTGGCATGATCTCCCCGTTGAGATCCGGACCCTCACCACCCTTCCGGCCTTCCGCAAAGCAGTTAAGACCTGGCTGTTCCGGCAGGCCTGGGGCTGTTGAATTTTCCAGCCCTATCCGAGGTTGCGACTGTTGCTGTATTTTAAATTGTTTGTCTTTTTATTTTTGCTTTGTACCCCTCTCCCCTCCAGATTGTTAGCCGCCCTGAGTCTCTTGGGAATAGGGCGGCATACAAATTGAATAAAACCTAAACCTAAACACCTGCATCGAAAGTCTTACCATTTCTCAAGTTATTACACTTAAACTGGGTTTTACGAAACCCTCTGAATCAGGGCTGTCAAACTCGCGTGGTCACGGTGGAATCACATGACGTATCACAACCGAGCCGCGAGTTTGACACTCCTACTCTGAATCAACCCTGCATTCTGAATTTGCATAATTCAATGAACTATAAAGAAACCAAGGAGGTTGAATTCGCACAATGCTTCAAATCGCAGTCACACTAACCAATTTTTTTAAACCATTTTTTTACAAATTTTTATTTTTACAGACGCCTCTGCGGTGTCATGACTTTTAAAGCATGTTGTGTGAACAAGGCTAGGTTGCTTCTCTCTGTTCATAACTCCAGTTGCAAGTTGTTGGGAATCTGAATCAACTCACGGGTGTGGCACACATTTACTAGAATTTCTCTCTAACCAGAAAGCATCCGATCAAAGCTGTCAAGATTTCCTGAGATTCTTATTGGCAAAGACGCATCGCATGACTTACAAGTAGTTTCTTGAATACTTGCAGGGTTGCTAGCATCCTCTCCATACATTGCATAAACGGCTAGTGAGTACTCAGTGCTGGGAGTTAAGCCCCTGATCCAAACTTCCGGATGTTCTACTTTCAGCTGAAAAGAAAGAGCGAAATATTTGGTGGCTGATGGATGGGAGGGAGGGAGGAAACAAGGAAGCAAGGAAAGAAGGGTGAGAAAAGGAAGGAGGGAGGGAGGGAGGGAGGGAAAAAGGAAGGAAGGAGGAGGGAGGGCGGAGGGAGGGCGGAAGAAGAATGGAGGAAAGAAGGAGAAAGGAGGGAGGGAGGAAACAAGGAAGCAAGGAAAGAAGGGTGAGGAAAGGAAGGAATGAGGGAGGATGGGATAAAGAAAGGAAGAGGAAGGAAGAAGGGAGGGAGGGAGGGAGGGAGAAAGGAAGAAGAATGGAGAAAAGGAGAAAGGAGGGAAGGAGGGAGGAAGGAGGGGGAGAAACAAGGAAGCAAAGAAAGAAGGGTGAGGAAAGGAAGAAAGGAGGGGGGAGGAAGAACAATGTAGGAAAGGAGAAAGAAGGAAGGAGGGTGGGAGGAAGAACAGGGAGGGAGGAAACAAGGAAGCAAGGAAAGAATGGTGAGGAAAGGAAGAAAGGAGGGAGGGATGGAGGGAGGAAGAACAATGGAGGAAAGAAGGAGAAAGAAGGAGGGAGGGAGGAAGAAGGGGGAGGGAAGAAACAAGGAAGCAAGGAAAGAATGGTGAGGAAAAGAAAAAAGGAAGGAGGGAGGGATAAAGGAAGGAAGAATAAAGGAGGAAGGGAGGGAGAAGAGAGGGAGGAAGAAGAATGGAGAAAGGAAGAAGAAATAAGGGAGAGAGGGAGGAAGAAAAAAAGGAGGATGGGAGAGAAGAAGAAGAATGGAGGAAGGGAGGAAGGGAGGGAGGGAGGGAGGGAGGGAGGAAGGAAGGAAGGAAGGAAGGAAGGANCAGTGGAACAGAAGTTGCCTCCAGAAGTTGTGAATGCCCCAACACTGGAAGTCTTTAAGAAGATGTTGGATAGCCATTTGTCTGGAACGGTATAGCGTTTCTTGCTAAGCAGGGGGGTTGGACTAGAAGACCTCCAAGGTCCCTTCCAGCTCTGCTATTGTATAAGTTGTATTACGGGCTGTGAATCAACATAATTCACAGACTTTGAAATAAAAAAGGGTTTTGGGGACTAAGCATGCGCTTTTTACTGTATCAGGAAGCCTATGTCAGAACACATCCCAACCACTCCGCGTGGAAACCCAGTCCTCAAATCTCCTTGCAGTGGTGGCCCGACAAATTATTATTTAACTTTTAGATTGATTTGATTCTGAAGACGATGCCTGAGGATAAGATGGATAGCCAAGAAAGTAAACAAAATGGATCCTAAAACAAGTCAAGAGTTCTGACTCAAGTTACAAATAACCAGGCTTGGACTATCGGACTTTGGACACAAGTCTTATGGTTCCTTTGAGAAGTCCACAATGGTGTGAAAAATTGAAGGGAAGCCAAGAGGAGGATTAAAAGAAGAGAATATTTGTAGCTCGGGGTTGAACTATGGAGTTCTTGATGCTCTCTGAGCTTGGTGGTTTTCTTACAGACGTTTCATTACCAAACTAGGTAACATCATCAGTGCTAGAAGGGAGCGCTATTTGTAGAGTGGAAGAGGAGGACAAGAGGAGGAAGGGGAGGAGGAGGTTGGGGAAGGAGGAGGGCTGTGGGACTTTGAGGCTCTCTGAGTTTGGTGGTTTTCTTAAGACATATAGATAACATCATCAGAACTAGAAGGAAGGGCTGTTTGTGGAGAGGAGAAGGAGGGTCAGAAAGAGAGAAAGATTGTGAAGTCCTTAGAGTGCTTTGAGCTTGGTGATTTTCTTGCACACATTTCATTACCAAACTAGGTAACATCATCAGTGCTAGAAAGGAGGGCTGTTTGTGGAGTGGAAGAGTAGAATATTAGCAGAAGGGGAGGAGGAGGAGGAGGAGGAGGAGGAGAGTGGTGTTCCCCCCCCCCCCCTTTTCCTTTCCCCCCTCTGGGAAAGCTCCAGGAAAGGGAGGGGGGAGGAGGAGGAGGAGGGGGGGGGGAAGATGTAAAGTCCTTGGTGTGAGTGAGCTTGGTGGTTTCCTTCCAGACATTTCATTACCAAACAAGGTAACATCATCAGTGCTAGGGAAGGAGGGCTGTTTGTGAGGTGGAAGAGTAGGAAATTAGCAGAAAGGGAGGGGGAGGAGGAGGAGGAGGAGTGGGGGGAGAAGACTGTGAGGTCCTTGGGGTGAGTGAGCTTGGTGGTTTCCTTCCAAACATTTCATTACCAAACTAAGTAACATCATATGTGCATCAAACAGAGGTGGTATTCAGCAGGTTCTGGCCAGTTCTCAAGAACCAGTAGTGGAAATTTTGAGTAGTTTGGAGAACCGGTAAATACNATAGGGTTTCCTGCCTAGGCAGGGGGTTGGACTAGAAGACCTCCAAGGCCACTTCCAACTCTGCTATTGTATTGTATCGTATATACCCCGTAGAAATGTTTTTCAAACATGGCACCTTTAAGCTGTGCGGACTTCAATTCCCAGAATTCCCTAGCCAGCATGGTTCCAACAGACTTCCTGGTAAAGTCCAGTTGCTTCTTGAAAAAGCATCTTTGGGACAACCATGACCTGGATGACTAAGAGTCTCCATACACAAAGAAGTAGTATATTCAGAATAACAGAGTTGGAAAGGGTCTTGGAGGTCTTCTAGTCCAACCCCTGGCCCAAACAGGAGACTGTATACCCGTGATGGCGAACCTATAGCATACGTGCCACAGGTGGTATACAGTGCCCTCTCTGTGGGCACGCGAGCCTTTCGCCAAGTTCAGCTCTGCCACATCAGCTGGCCGTCGGTTCTCTGCCATGCATGTCCAGGGGGTGGGGTTTGTGGGAGGGGCCACGCGCATGCACAGAGGGCGGGGGGCATGCGGGGGGCACGCGTGCATGAACAGTAGACAGGGCACATGCAGGGGGCTGTGTGCACATGCGCAGGGGGTGGGGCACATGCAGGGGCCATGCGCATCCATGGAGGGGCAGAGTGCATGCTGGGGGGGCGCACATGCACGGGGTGGAGCACACATGTAGGGGCAGGGCGCACATTGCATTTTGTGGGTTCGGGTGCGCCCCTCGGAAGGATGGAATGCGGAGTCAACCTTGAGCGGGTCAGAATCGAACTGCTGGCAGAAATTAGCCTGCAATACTGCATTCCAACCACTGGGCCACCTTGGCTCTTAAGGATCCTGACACCATCCCTCTGTTGATGCAGCCTAGATGCAGCTGTTTCATTTTTGCTTTCACTTGATACGGTAAAGGCACTGGGGACCCCAGGACTTACGTGTTGAACTGATGCCTCTGAGACCATCTCCCACAGCGTTCTCATAAACGGGGAAGACTGAAACCAGGTATTCCGTCTGCGGCGTCAANAGGGAGGAAGAAAAAAAGGAGGATGGGAGAGAAGAAGAAGAATGGAGGAAGGGAGGAAGGGAGGGAGGGAGGGAGGGAGGGAGGAAGGAAGGAAGGAAGGAAGGAAGGAAGGAAGGAAGGAAGGAAGGAAGGAAAGGAGGATGTTCCAACCTGGCCATTGTGAACCTGCCTCTCTACGAGCTGGTTGAGAAATTGAAAAAGAAAAAAATACGTATTTATTAGCATCGCCACGTGAGCGGATGGGCGATCCCTCTACAGACTGCAACTAAAGAAGTTCTTCCTTTATCCTGAAAACTTTGGGGAAAAGGACCGATGGTGGGACTTCGCAGAGACGTCGTCTTAATGAATTCACAGAGAAAACAAAGCCAGAGGGGGGTCCTATTTTTGCTTTCCAGATTCATTAAAAAAGGTCCACGGGAAGCTCGCTTCTGCAATCGTGCTCTGCCATTTCCCCCACTAAACACCCCAGCGACACAGTTATGTACGCACTGCCTTAAGTGTATTTGGAGCAACACATCTGGAAGATGGAAGAGGCAAGCTGACATTTCTATTTTGTTCTCGTCTCAAACTGTTTTATCGGTAGAGTTAGGCATTCAGTGAACTGGTGTTTAACTCCGTTGACAAGGGAATTAACTTCTTGTTCGTAGAAATACAAGTGTTTAGAGTAGAGGAGAGTCCTCAGCACCGTTTTGAACCCTGAGCTTCATTGCTTCTCTCCTGTTGGAATCTTAGACTAGCAAACATCTGGGTTGTAAATTTTTGGATGGCCACTAGATGGAAGCAGAGTCATAATTTTCTACCTCTCTTTATTGCCACCATGTGGTCATATGAATCGTGGCGACTCCGATATACAGGTGGTCTTCAACTGACGACCACCGCTGAGCAAAATTTACATTGCTAAGTGAAAAATGCATTGTTTGGACCCCTTTGAGGACGTTTCTTGCCACATTTGTGAAGCTGTCAGGCACCCAAGTGTTAATCACATGACCATGGGGGATGCCGCAACAGTTGCAATTCTGAAAAATGGTCAGAAGTCACCTTTTTTAGTGCCCTTGTAACTTAGAATGGTCACTAAGTGAATTGTTGGAAGTTGAGGACACAGTGTTTCTCCAAAAATAAGACCTTGCAATCTTCTGACAAGTAAACTCAATGGAGATTCACTTAACAACTGTGTTACTAATTTAACAACTGCAGGGATTCACTTCACAAACGTGCCGAGAAAACTCGTACAATGGGGGGGGGGACTCTCTTAACATATGTCTCACTTAGCAACATACATTTTGGGCTCAATTGTGGTCGTACATTGAGGGCTACCTGTAGTTCCTTTATTGTTCCCCGGGCCTAAGAACCAAGAACAATAGGTGGAGTTACTTCCAAGTATCGTATTTTTCAGAGTATAAGATGCACCTTTTTCCCTCAAAAAAGAGGCTGAAAATCTGGGTGCATCTTGCACACTGAATACAGCATTTTTTGCCTCCTGAAACTCCGCCCCCTTTGCAAAAATGGTCATGCATAGCCTTTAGGAGGCTTTCAGAGAGCTCCTGGGGGCTGGGGAGGGCAGAAATGAGCGGGAAATGATCCTCCCCCCAGTCCCCAGCAGCACTCTATAAGCTTCCTAAATACTACCCATGCCCTTTTGTTGACAAAAATGGGCCCGTTTTTGTGAAAAACGGGCCATTTTTTTGCTCGTTTTTGGGGGCCCTCCCCCCCAGGAGCACTCTACAAGCCTCCTAAGGGCTATTCATGCCCTTTTTAAAAAATGGGCCCATTTTTGCGAAAAATGGGCTGTTTTGGGGAGTTTTGCAGAATGCAAAAACTTTTTTTTCTATTTTCCTCTTCAAAACCTTGCTGCGTCTTATACTCTGAAAAATATGGTAACTTCTTTATTGTTCCCCAGGCCCAAGAACGACACGTGGAGTTACTTCCGAGTCGTTTCTACATTCACCTACAGACAGAATCTTGCCAGACTAAAGCAGCTATCTGCATAACGATAGACCTACTCTGTGAACTGCTAAGAAGGAGTCGTCTTTGCCCTGTTCCTGCCTATCAGATATTCCAAACTACATTGCCTTTTTGCAATCTGGAAGGCAACCTTTCTCCCTCCTGGGACTTCGGATGACATTCCAACCCAGAGTGGAATGCACAAGAGGCCACAACTAGACAGTGCAAACGTGACTGAAGCACGAGTTCTTTACCTCTTTTGTATCATCTTCGGCGCCATTGGGTGTTGAGGAAGACAGGATAAGATATTGTGTGGCTCCTTCAACTGGTTCCCACATGAGCTTGATACTGTTGTGGCTGATCTCCGATGTTCTGAGGGATTGGGGCGCAGACAACGGTACTAGGACGGGACATAAAAGCGATACACAGGTGAGTTACAAAGAGGTGTGTTTCTGAACAGATGTCCATTTGTCCAAAGATGTAAATATTTACCATATTTTTGGGACTATAAGACACACCAGAGTATAAGACGCACCAAGATTTTGAAGAGGTACATTCTTAAAAAAGTTTTTGCACTCTGCAGGCCTCCCAAACCCTCTGCACGCCTTGTTTTTTGTGAAAAACAGGGCATGCATAGGCTTTGGGAGGCTTGTAGAGTGCTCCATTTTGCAGGCCTCCCAAACCCTCCATGTGTTCATTTTGCAAAGGCGGTGGGGTTTCAGGAGACAAAAATGCTGTATTCAGTGTATAAGATGCACCCAGATTTTCACTCTCTTTTTTGAGGAGGGAAAAGGTGCATCTTATACACTGAAAAATATGGTAAGTCTTTCAAGTTTAAACTTAAATTAAAGGGTAGCACTGATGATGTTATCTAGTTGGGTAGCGACACATCTACAAGAAAACAACCAAGCTCAGAGAGCACCAAGGACCACACAGTCCTACTTCTCCTTCATCACCTCTTCCACTTGGCAAACTTCTTCTAAGCACTGATGATGTTACCTAGTTGAGCAATGAAACATCTACCAGAAAACTGCCAAGCTCAGAGAGCACCAAGGACCCCCCCACCTTAAACTTTTCCCAAAGTTAATACAAATGTTCTGCCTTTTTCATTCAAACTCATTCAGTTGTTCGTCTTTCTTTTCCAACATTCCAATTCTTTTGAATGAAAAGAAAATGCTTCTAAGCATTTGTAAAGTTTTCTAACTATGCCATAACTGATTCATAATAATTGAGCCAATGTTTTAATGCAAAAACCAGTGATTTATTAACAGCTACATCAGGCATTATTCATTAGGCAAGATTTATTCACAGCCATTTCTTTGCTTCGTTTATCTGCTTCTGAACTTTGCCCCTGTTCCTTTCCTCCCCTCAGTCTGTGTCATAAATCACATTACCCAATAAATACACCCATCTCAAACCAGCTACTGTAATCTGAGATCCAGCTCCGGGGACGGTATGAGTGGAATGTCAACACAGAGAGTTGACAGTGTTTTTTTTTAAGGAGAGGGGTTGGATTGGTTTGTTTCTCCCCCAAAATTTGATCAAATTTTGATGTAGGGTTCTTACATGTGCATTTATTTGTGAGATGGACAAAGTCCATGGGCATGTTGAACTGAGCAAGAAGAAGCACTTGTATAAATGCCGTACTGCTGTGTTCATTACTAAGATAGATTTATTGTTTGCTGCCACTTTAAGAATCTCATTATCTGCAGCTAACTCACCCCTTAAAGCAGCTACCATATTATTCGGAGTACAAGATGCACCTTTTTCCCTCAAAAAAGAGGGTGAAAATCTGGGGGCATCTTATACACTGAATACAGCATTTTTGGCCTCCTGAAACCCCACCCGCTTTGCAAAAATGGTGGTGCATAGCCTTTAGGAGTCTTCCAGAGTGCACCTGGGGGCTGGGAAGGGCAAAAAGGAGCAAAAAAACAGGTCATTTTTTGCTCATTTTTGCCCCCACAGCTCCCAGGAATACTCTACAAGCCTCCTAAAGGCTATGCATGGCCCTTTTTTGATTAAAAAAAAACCAGGCCCGTTTTCATGAAAAATGTGCCATTTTTGGGACATCTGCAGAGTGCAAAAACTTTTTTTTTTAATTTGCCTCTTCAAAATCTTGGTGCGTCTTATACTCTGAAAAATACGGTATAGCAATAGCAATAGCAATAGCAGTAGACTTATATACCGCTTCATAGGCCTTTCAGGCCTCTCTAAGCGGTTTACAGAGAGTCAGCATAGGTATATCATTTTTGAGGTCACCATTAGCCCTGCAAGGTAGCCCAGATGAGAAGCATAACCAAGAATATTAGATCCACCCTTATTGTAAGGTTACATTAACAGATTCTTGCAGGACCGAAATAATTTCTCCCTTCTTCTTGTTTTACTCTTCATAAAACTAAGGAGGGTCCCATCTCTAAATGTTTCTCACACCTCCCTTTCTCCTAGGGCAGGGGTGTCAAACTCGATTTCATTGAGGGCTGCATCAGGGTTGGGTTTGACCTCGGGGTGCCAAGTGGGCGTGGCCAATGGACGTGACCAATGGTGGATTCCTACCAGTTCGGACTGGTTTGGCCGAACCAGTCGTGATTTGACGGCCTGGGTCGCTGGAACTGGCAGTGACCCAGGCCTGCCACGCCCCTGAACCGGTTCTCCAGGCAGCGCCATAGGGCTGCCATCTTGTTTTTTGCTTCTGCGCATAGGCAGAACAAATTTTATTGCACAGTGCATGTGTGCGCAGCACGCATCAAGCGCATGCACAGCATGAGCAAACCAGCAGTAGTGACTACCGGAACCCACTCCTGGGCGTGACCAACTTCTAGTGTTGGAGCATTCACAACTTCTGGAGGAAAACCGTTCCACTGATTAATTGTTCTCACTATCAGGAAATTTCTCCTCAGTTCTAAGTTGCTTCTCTCCGTGATTAGTTTCCACCCATTGTTTCTTGTCAGGTGCCTTGGAGATTAGTTTGACTCCCTCTTCTTTGTGGCAGCCCCTGAGATATTGGGAGACTGAGATATTGGTGTGATTCACTTAACAACAGCCCTGTTTAGCCACAGACGTTTCTGGTTGTAAGTTGAGACTGCCTATAAAATACGAAGCTGAAGTATCAAATTCTAAATCACCCCAAGAGTCAATGAGGAAAATAGAATTCTCTTTGGCAGGGCAAGAAATATTTGGAAACAATGCTCAGCCGAGTCAGCAGATTGTTCACCAACCATGCGCAGAAATCTCAAAAGGAAGACTATTTTTTAAATCAATGCAGTAAACAAATGCTGGCCTTGTACTCTCACAGAGCTGAAGATGCTCATACCAGAAATCAATCCCCGATTCTTGAATTAATGAATTTTTATTGTGGCCTTAAGCCGATCAACAATACAATAAATCCCCCGATNCTTCTTCTTCTTCTTCTTCTTCTTCTTCTTCTTCTTCTTCTTCTTCTTCTTCTTCTTCTTCTTCTTCTTCTTCTTCTTCTTCTTCTCCTCCTCCATTTTCCTTCTTTCTTCTTTTCCCCTTCTCCTCCTTCCCCCCATCTCCATTTCCTTTCCTTTTCCTTCTCCCCTTCTCCTCCTCTTGGTTCTTCATATTCTTCTCCTCCTCCCTGTCTCCATTTCCTTTCCTTTCCTTTCTCCCCTTCAGCTTCCTCTTCTCCTCCTTCCTCTCCTCCTCCTCTTTTGTCTTCATTTTGTCCCCACTCCTTCCTTCTGTCCTCTCCTCCTCTTCCCTCTTTCCATTTTCCTTCCTCCTCCTCTTCTTCCTCCGCCTCCATCTCCTTCCCCTCCCCATCCTCCTCACCCTCCTTCTCTCCCTTTCTCCTTGTCCATCTACTCCTCCCTCTCTTTCTCCCCCCTCCTCCCTCTTCTCTTTCCACTTTGTCTTCTCCTCATCTTTTCTCCTTCTGTCCCCCCTTCTTCTCTCCTTCTCTTCCTCCTTCACAGCTCTTTTCTGTGGGAGATATTTTGTGCTACAGAATTCCCTCAGAATCTCCCTCTTGATGATGGGTGGCACTGTTTGCAGGACAAAGCACAGCTTCTGCCTTCTCATAGCATGGTTAGCATCCTGACTAACAAACTATCTTGTAGGACAGCAGCCTCCCTGTTTCCAAGCAGCCTCCATGTTTCCAGTGTCTTTTTCCCCACTTGAAAATGGGATAGCCTGAGTCAAAAAAAAAACCAAAACCCTGCCATGAAGGATTCCCTTACCCATCAACAGCCACGCTCCATTTTAGCTCAGTCCAGCTGTAGGAAGTGAAAACCCACCCCTCTCCTAGAAAAATGAAATATCCTGGGAAATATTGAAAAGGCAGAATATTATATTTCCCTGGATCAGAAATGGAGAGACATGTTTTAGGCAGGAAGCAGACTCACTCTTGATAGCCCCCCCACCTTGTCAATGGGCCATTTTTAAAAAGCCTGGGTCAGTCTATTCTACATAACAAAGATCTCCCCCTTCATCTCCAGGGTGATGGGATTAAAACATGATAGTATTAGCCCTTTACCCATCTCACCACGGGGCACCTGGGAAGAAACAATGCTCAACCAAACTTGGATTCAAACAGCCTATAGAGTTGCCCCTGCA